TTTTGAAAATTAGAAAACATGTTTGGTTAATATAAATGAAAACTTGAATTCAAAACTAAAATATTTAAAATATATTTGGTATATAATTTTTAAAATATAAATATTACATAAATTTAACATATGAGTTATACAAATATAAAATGATAAAGTTGATAATAAATTTTGTAACACAAAATTTATTTTTGTTTATAATAAGAATATAATGTTAATGCTTATTAGACATTAATTAAATTTTAAAACTACAAAAAAAATATTATTATAAGTAGTAACACATAAAAGTGACATTAACATAAAAAATATATTTAGTGGTAACTGAGACCCTTAAACTTTTGGGGAAAATAATTAGTGTAGTACATGATTTTTTTTGCACCAAATGTGATCAACTTAGAAAAAAATTAATCTAACCCTTTGAACAACATAATCAAACGTTGGGTGTCACGACACTTATATTATAATTTACAAACTTACATGGCAATCTACAATATTGATGTGACATTTTACGTTGTTGTTGTGACGATATTCGATGGACGATGATGTCGTAGATAGACTTAATTAATTATTTTAAAAAGTTTGGGGATTTATTAATTTTTAATTTTTTAAATTTAAAATATATAATATAAATAATTATTAAGATATTCAATAAATTAAATATAAAAATATTACAAGATTAAATTATTAAAAAAAATTAATTCAATGACACATTGAGTGTAAAAAAAATTTAGGGACCATATTGATTTTTTTACAAAAGTTTGAGGGTTTCAGATACCATTAAATCAAAAATTTATTGTTAGAATGATTTAAACATAGAGGTGGAAAACGGGTCATTCAAATCGGGTTTGAGTCAGGTCATTTCGGGCCAAGTAATTTCGGGTCTAGATTAAATTCAGTTTAATTTTGTTTGGATCGGATCAGATCTAGTTGGGATCTAGTTCGGGTGTATGGTGAATCGGATTGGGCCGGGTGATTATTGGAACAGTTGTTTTACGATTCAGATCAATATCAGATCGGTTGATTTTTGGATCAGGTCAATATTGGGTCGGGTCAATACCGGATCGGTTGATTTTTGGGTCGGGTTAATATTAGATCGGTTGATTTTTGGTTTAGGTCAACCTTTAGATCAGGAAAATTCGGGTTGAATTGGTTATGAATCTAATCAAAATTAAGTATATATAGAATAATTGATATTACTTGTAAAATATGTATTCTTATTTGTTAATTTTATCATTTAGATTTAATTTCAATTATCAATCATTCAACATTTTTAATTAAACCATCATGTAGAGATGATAAATTAATAATTTGACACAAATACGATACTATAATACATGTTATTATATTGATCTCGTATGAAAAGTTTATAATGAGAACTATTTGATAAAGAAATAATTTTTTATTAAATTTTTTATTTCCAATTATAATTTTAATAATTTTATTAACTTTTAAAAAATAATACATAACTTTATTTGTTAAGTTTTAGTCGTAACATAATAAATTTTATATTATTTTTATTATAAATCTAATATTATTTCCTTTGTTTGTTTTCTATTATTTTTATTATAAATCTAATATTTTTATAACAAGTAAGATAACTTTATTTATTACTATTTTCAATCTTACAATTAGATTCTTACTTTTACATTCCTCTTAAACTTTCTATTATTTTATTATTAAATCTAATATTTTAAATTAATTGTCAATTTTATTTAAATTAATTTATTATTGAAAATAACTTTTATCGTTTAATAACTTTTATCAATTTCAATATGTTCGGGTTGCTTTCAGGTCAGGTTAAATTCAGTTCTGGTTAAAATTTGGTTCGGGTTGCTTTCGGTTTGGGTTAATTTCGGTTCGGATTGCTTTTGGTTCGAGTTAATTTCGATTTCGGTTCGGGTTGATTTCGCTTTTGCTATATTTTGAATCGGGTATGAGTCGACTATCAGATCAAATTTGATTATTATGTTCGGGTTAATATCGGGTATTGGGTCGGGTAAATCGGTTCGGGTATTCGGGTTCGGGTCAAGTTTACCAGATCTATTTAAACATGTGTAAGTCAAGTTAAAAATCTATATAATGTTTTCTTATTTTTTGAATTCTCAAAACAATTTTAATGAAGATATCGAAAATATCTTTTTTATGTTTTCTTATTTTAACTTTTTTTTTTAAATTTTTTGAAAATCATTTTCTATTTTAATAACCAAACACGTTTTATTTAACGTTTTTTATTTCTATGTTTTATGAAAATGAAAATAAAAATAACCTATATTTTCTAAAACCAAATCTACCTTTATTTTTTAAGGTTTAAATTAGACACGATATTCATAAAGCCCACCCAAATTTAGACCAATATGTTAGCAATATTGGGTCATTGGTATTGTCTCTCAGATCTAAGATGATTTGGATTATATATATGTTTTGATTTTAAATATAGTATAACCAAATACCTATACTTTTTTTTTAAATTATAGACTTTTGGTATCGGATGCCAAACGTATCACTTATATTTATAGCTATAAAAAATTAAGTTTATATATGTATTCAATAATAAATTTAACGTTAATGTGCTTGTTCGATATTAAATTTATTTTCTTTAATTTTCTGTTTGGGTATTTAGTTTAGCCTAAATTAGTTCTATAGATATTTCCATTTGATATTTTTTTCAATTCAAATTCTATAATCTAAATATATATTTAATAGGCTTATATAACAAATAAGTGTCTAAAATATATAATCTTCCAAAATAGGTACTTAAAATATTCAATTTTTTATCCAAGTATCTAAAGTATTCTTTAACTAATGTAACTTGTCAACTTTTTTACAACTTAGATGAAAAAGTTTAAATAATTTAGGTATCTATTTTGACATAAAATATTACATACATATTTTGATTAAAAAATAACTTTAGATATTTATTTTGATAAAAAAAACTTTAAATACTGAAATAAAAAATAAAAGGGTAAACTACGTCAAATACCATCAACCTTTAAGCTCTAATCGTTTATACCACCAACGTTTTAATTTTGCAAATTTTAGCAATGACATTTATTTTTAAGTGCAATTATGCCACTAATGACTTAACGACACGATGACATGTCAGCTACGAGCTGTGACGTTACTGACGTGGATGCCTCACTAAAACTATGTTGTTTTACTTAAAAAATAATTAGTAATATGGGGATTTGAACCCTAAACCTTTTGAATTAAAGATTAAAGTTTAACTATAAAAACTTAATTTTTTATACAATTTTATAAACATAATACATATATCATATCAGGACATGGTTCACTTCTTTTTCTTCTTCAACTCTAGGCCTAAAGTTGGATCAACTTCTACTTAGTTTGTGTTGAAAATAATATGGGTGCTCGGTTTCAAAGGCCTAAAGTTTTGCCATCCCTGGCCCAATCCGAGTCCAATTAATGTACGGCTGCTAACATGTGGAGTTGTGAGCTGTGTAGGCCTGTAAAAGAACCGAACGCACACGAACGGAGGTATGTTCATGTTCGTTCATTTAATAAATAAACGAATATAAACAAACATGAACATAAACAAACAAATTTTTTTTTCATGTTCGTTTATTAAGGAATATAACTTGTTCATGTTCGTTCATTTAATAAATAAACGAACATAAACGAACACATAAACGAACACGAACATAAATAAAGACGAACATAAATGAACATAAACGTTGGAGACCCTACCTTCCATTGTTCTTTCATGAAAAATAGTCGACAATGCAAATCAACCAAATCTACAGTGATAAATAGCGTAAGTGCTTATTAGCAGTGATGAAATGTTTGAAAATATCAAATATTTCGATTGATCTTTTAAATATATTAAATGATTCATACGACTTTAATTTAACGATATAACATTTATCTTAGTGATCCATGATTACATATGAACAATCATTTTCTACTACATTATTCTAATAAATTCCCCGGCTAAAAGTTTTGTGACATCAATGTCAGACTTTAGTGAGGTTTGTTCATAATGGTCCTTTCCGTTTGCAGAGTAGAAAATTTAACAGCATGAAGATTTCGAACGGTACAAATTGGACTACAAGGCAATAATATAGATCTGAAATCCCTTCGATGCTACATATCGTAACTGATATTATTGCTAAACCACCATTCAAAATTTTAACGTACCTAAAGTCTACTCCACAACTAAATGTCACACAAGAACTACGAAAACAAAAGTTCATTGTCAAAGTATATTTTCTACTTATTAATGGGTTCTTCTTGAAAAACCCATTACTTCCGCTATTACACTCTTTTTCAGAAATTGCATATAAACATTTTGTTTTGTTTTATGGCAAATTCTATATATTTTTCATTTTATTGATGCTCATATACTTCTGATTGTTACCTTTATCTTCCCATCTATTTCTAGAAAGAAGTATGATGTTTTCTTGAGTTTAGATGTGAAGATACTCGCAATAACTTTACATATCAACTATTAAGCCAAATAAAACAGAGAAAGAGATGAAAATAGACCTGTAAAAATTCAGTGAACACAAGGGTTTGGGGAAAAAAAAGGAAAATGAATATAGGTGCGAGGTGCCTCACGGGTTAACATATTATATTTAATCTCCAAATAAAATTGGGTTAATTATGGAGTTGGTCATCAGAATATCAGATTAATTAATATTTTTAAGATACTTACAAATTGGTCACCAAAATTGATTTAAGAAGATTGGGTTAAACATAAATGAATGAACATAAACGAACGAACATAAACTAACATAACCGAACGAACATAAACGAACATAACCGAACCTTCACGAACGTAAATGAACGAACGAGACCTATGTTTATGTTCGTTCATTTAATTAAACGAATACAAATCTTGTTCATGTTCGTTCATTTAATAAATAAACGCACATAAACGAACTTCCCGCCGCACGGTTCAGGAACGGTTCGCTGAACGTTCAGTTCATTTACAGGCCTAGAGCTGTGTAAGTCGTCAACTTCCCGCTTCCAGTGGCTAATACCCTGGACTTGAGCTCGACGCAGCCGCCAGCTTCAAATTTTCAACTGTGAAAAGAATCGATCAAATCTCCTTCAAAATCCAATCTCTTTCTTCATCTTCGTCTTCGTCTGTGTTTTAATTCCAGTTTTATCTGCAATTTCCAAATTTATGGATCTAACGAGCGAGGTCTCTAGTTGTTTCTTTCTCTCAGTTTTTTTTTTAAATTTTGTTTTACTGTGTTATTATTAGGTATTACGCAGCGGAATACTTAAACTTTTCGTTTGAATTGAAGTTTCTCAATCGGTTTGGAGTTTAATTTATAATGCTTATGCTTTGAATAATTGATAGTAGTAAATGTTTAGTCTCACTTGAAAAAGACAGGAATGTTTTTTTAAGAACAATTAGGGTATAGTTTGTATCGACAAAATACTTAATAACAATAGGTTTTTGAATGTGTTTAGGTGGGATTAAGGTTGGTTTTTTCTATAATTAGTTCCCACATCGTTGTTCGGTCGACATGGTAATCTCTTAGCTGAGTGAATCACAACTGATCAACCGTTTGAGCTTTGATTATGATTAAATTTCTAAATTGTTGTGATTTGGGTTTAACAGTTGTACGGCGGGGACTGTCTTACCAGTTTACTCTACGTTTAAAGCAATCGAAAGCAATGATCAAAATAAGCAGCGAAAATGGCTGCTTTATTGGACAGGTTATTGGCATTTAATTTGTTTCATTGTGTGCCGTAATGTGATCTGAATTTGAGACCATAGAACTTCTTATCGGCTAAACATTTCGAACATTGCCTGTATGCTGCATGTGGCAGCAACATTATCAAAATAAATTATTGCTATAGCTTTATTCATGTTTGCTTTAACTTCATATGATTTCATATTTTTGCACGCAGTTTATGGATCATTCAGTGTCGCTGAAGCGTTTCAGTAAAAGAAAATATACCTTTAATGACACACGCTAATTTATGACTTGCAAAAAAATTGTCATAAAAAAAAGTCATGTTTTTTAAAATCTGAACGATTTATGACTTACAATAATGTGTCATATTTAATAGTCATAATCCAAAAAATTTGCAAAAACATGGAGTACACTTTTAATTGTGTGTCATCTTTAAAAGTCATATTTTAATTCCCCCCATTATTTTAATTCTTTCCCGCTTCTTCCCCCTCGATAATGTTTACGCCGCATGCTTCCCCCTTTTTCTCTTTTTCCCTTTTTCTCTTTGCAGTTGGCTGGCTCCCTTCTCACATCGTGCCCCCTGAATCGCTGCTCTCCGGCGATCCATCAAGTGAAGGAAACATGTATGGAAGTACGGGATTCAATAATGCTTACCACCAAAACAACCAGCAGCCGCCGAGCGGAGGAGAGAAGCGAGTAGAATCCCCAAAACACCAACAACGACGATAAAAAAGAGCAGAAACCCCCTCCCCCTTGTACGGACTTCGACAAGGACTACTTTCACTCTTATGCCCACATTGGCATCCACGAAGAAATGATCAAGTTCTTTTCTTTTTTTGTTATTTCTCTTTCTTCATATTCGTCCTTAACTGGGTTTATTTTTGTTTTGTTGTTACTTCTTGCTGGACCGTGTGAACTTCTTTTACTTCTTGTTTTTTTAAATGTCCTTCCGCTTTTTGTTGAAAGAAATGCTGCCTACTACTTATTATTTATCTTTGTTTCTTTGTTGACTTCGTTTAAACAAGGTTGAATCTTGCATTTGTAACCAAAAGTATTGCATTATTCTTTTTGCAGTTGTACATTTTATCCAGGTTTGGGTAAATTGTATATAATTTTGACAAAGTTGCTAGCCGATATCTATTGCAAAATTGGATAACCTTTTTCCTTTAAAATAATGAGAATAGAAATGCATGACAAGCCACTGAATACTGATCATAGTTTATCTCTGAAGCATACAGGATCGTGTTCGAACTGAAACTTACAGGGTAGCAATCATGCAACACCAGAGATTTATTGAGGGGAAGGTGGTATCATCATTGTAGTCCTAGTTATAAAACTATATTTGATCTCTTTCTTTGTAATACATGTTTTATCATAGTTCCATTTTGTGTAAGATTCATATTTCACCAGTCACAACACAATGTTATACTTTACAGTTTATAATCTCATGCCTAGGTGAAATGCATTTGTGTTTACTTGAGACATATTATATATAAAGCAGCTGGCTCGCAAACAACCTAGTTGGTTTAAAAATCGTTTCAATTTATATTTAGTTGGTTTGTTCCTCTTCTTCATTATTGCTTTTGGCCATGCTTACAGGTTGTAATGGATGTTGGATGTGGCACAGGCATTCTTTCAATATTTTTGTTCTCAAGCTGATGCAAAACGGGTATATGTTATGACATTCTTATTGTATGATTGGCATATTTATAACAGTGTTATATGGCCACATATATTTGAGGATTGAATAAATCTCATTTTTTTGCATATAATATGGTACTGGTTTCAACTGGTTTCTGAAGACTACATCATTTAATAAGTGCAGGTGATTGCTAGAAGTTAAATTGTGTTTAACTTTATTTTCCCCTTTACTTTCCTCTAGGTTTTCTCTAACTAGCTTTCTTTGTTAATTTTATAATTTTATCAAAAAGAAGATTGTAAGCTTATATTGATCTATTGACTAAGAGAAACTGTAGATAGAACTTCAATTTTGTTCATTAGTATTTTTTAGAATTCTCTTGCTGCCTCAAATTTATATTCTTGTGATTCTTATGGATTCATTTAAATACAACTGTCTAATATCTGAAGTGATTATGTATTTTCAGGTTTATGCAGTGGATGCTAGTGATATTGCAGTGCATGTATTTTTTAGCATTAGTACTTAAATGCTTATATGAGGCATTTTTACCTCCTCTTTTGAGAATCATGAAGTTTAGCTAATTTTCATTCTCTCATTGTCATTTTCACAATGAGATTATGAGATTTGGTTAGCACAGTTATTAGAGCATGCATGCTAATTTTCAATCAATATTGTGGAATTGTATATATTCTTTACTTCTCAGGACCTTTCTTTGGTTGTGTTCTTGTTTAGAAATGAAAATGGCTATTTGGTTTATATTAATATTTGTTGTTTGATTGCAGGCCAATGAAGTGGTGAAAGCAAATAACTTAGCTGAAAGGGTCATTGTATTGCATGGGGGAGTTGAGGTAGGCTTTTATTCTCAAACTTGTCGATGTCTATAGTCCTTAAATGGTTGCAAGAATAAGAACCTATAAGTATTCTTCCCAAGCTTATTGAATTCTATGACCATAAATGGTTTGGGCCGGGGAGTTGAATTATTGAACTTGACTTTTCATTGGAGGGATAACTAATGTCCTGTAGGGCCAACTTAGGGTTAGGTTTTCTTTCTTTAACTTGTGAAAGTCAGTGAGAATCTATGTTGTATGGATATGAATATAAATACGGGGACAGGAAACAACAATTTTCAAAATTTTAGGGTACGAATATGACAAATCTATGACAAATATAAAATAAATTTTAAAATTATAAAAAAATGTAGAAAACATCAGCATGCATGTTTCATTTTAGAATTTATTTTATATTTTCTGTACCCATACCCTGTAATTTTGGAAATTTCCATTTCTTGTCCCCATATCCGAGCAACATAGCTTAGATACTGGAAATTTTGTTTAAATCTCATTATAAAATGAGGAAAATTTTCTATAAATGTGGATCTTGGAAGAAGTGATTGCCATAGCAGCTTTGGGATGCTCATATTGGTAGATGACTGCAACCAATACCTACAATTGTAGTACCCTTTGTAGAGATATATTTGGTTAAATAGTCACATCTTTTTCATACTTAATATACACACCACTCGTTGTTATGGTGATCATAAGATCATAATTGGTGAAAGCTTGCACCTATTGGTCACTGATCCACATATTGTTTCGTGGGTTGCCTACTTTCATATTGGCTTGGTTTCAACACCCAAGTTTATAAATTTATAGATTAGTTCTCGAAAAATGACATTATGACAACATATTTATGCTATTGGCATCTTTGTTTCGATGGGACAGTAAATCAGTGGCTATTGTAAAGTACATAAATGTAGAAGTACAAGGTAGGTAATTTAAGACGAAGAATCAAAGGGCTTTTGTGCATTCATGTTTAGAGGATAGATATGCAATAAACTTATACTTGATGGTGGATTGGAGGAAGCCATGTGCTTTACACTGTTCTGATAAATGTGTTTACTTTCCTTGGACTGATTTGTCTCCTTTTGCATCTTCTGAAATACAAGTTGCAGAAGCACTTGAAGCTTGGATATGGTAACTGGCTACTGTTTGATCATTATCGTACTCTATTGGATCAGATATGCAGAAGGTATGAGTTGAAACTTGGGAGAATTGTATTGTACTTAGTAGTTCTCTAACTTATCAAAGTTTTGCAGAATCTTAACTAGTTAACAGACTTAATAGTATGCAATGAATCTTCCAAGTTGTGTTCTTTTTGCTAGGTAGACAAGGTGTGAATTTTCCTATTGTCGGCTTCATACCACATAAGATGTACAAGTATGGAGCAAATGGTGAAACTGATGATATGTTGGAATACCATGCTACTTTTGATTTTTCACAAGACTCCCCTTTAGTAGAACTTGATGATGATTTCTTATGTACACGCCCGGATGGCGAGGGCATATTAGTAGAACTTTATTATGCCGTGATATTTTGTATCGACATATGATTACAATATTTTTGATAACTTAATGTGAATATATTGTATGCAAATGGATTGCTTATATATATTATGATATATATATTTAGTATTATGAGGCATTAAATGTGATTTAGTTTGATTATTTGTCAATCTACAATATATATATATATAATTTACGAAATACAGTCACGACACAAGAATGTGTGCCATCTTTTTTAATGGCGTGTGCTTCAATGACACGTAATGTAAGTCATACATGTGTGTCATAAATTTATGATACACAAATGTGTGTCATCTTCATTTATGACGGGAGCTTCAATGACGCTCAATGCGCGTCATAAATGAGCGTCATAAATATGTGTCATAAATGCGTGTCATAAATGTGCGTCATAGATTTATGACACACAATTGTGTGTCATCTGAGATTTATATCGGTGGCTTCAATGACCGACAAATGTGTGTCATACGCACCTGTAGATGAAGCGTAATGAGCGTCATTAAAGGGGTATTTTCTAGTAGTGTTTACAGATAAAATCTTGTCATGGTACCTTTTCGTAAGCCTAAACATTGCATAAGTGGCTTTTTGGTTTGGTCGAGTTATATTTTGTTTCCTTCATAGTTTTCTTTTGTTTTTTGGTCATTTAACATTGTGAATTTAAGCAAGTAAGTTGTAATTCAGGTTTATAAGTGAACTATCTGAATTTTAAGTTTCATAGTGAACTTCTCTTGTTACACATTTCTTGTTTGCATGGTTGATTAAACTTCTTGACAAACTGCTCCAAAATATGTATTGCCCAAAATTTCCTTTCATGGGATGATTTTTCCCATACATTGAACCTGAATTATTAATATGTTTTTTTATTAGCTTTCTTTCTGTGTTGTTTTCTCTTCTAAGGAAACTCTTTTTTGTTTTTTTTTCTTTTGGTTAGGTTTCCTTTCTACTACTACGTAAAGTTTGCTTTTCTAGTTTGGCTTCAACTTCCATCTACCAATGTAAGCTTAATTTTTTCCCTTTGTTTCACAGATGACATATCTCATTATTAGATCTATCATGCACCATAGTTCAAGCATGTCCTTTATTAGAGGATATATCTTAATTAGTCAGCTGATTTAAATATTCGTGTTTTTTTCTTTATATGAAACCAAGAAGTTGAAATTATACAGTGAGCAAAGTACTCTTCATAACTGATTGTTTTATAACAGGGAGCTGGGCAGTTGTATACGAGCCATCTCCGTCCATTTTTACTGAGGCACCAATATAGGCTTGATCAAATATGGGAGCATATTTACAATGAAATGGTAAGAATTCCATGGAATGAAGGATAGAAATTTCTAGTTTCAGAGAGCTATCCAAATGGAACTTGCTATGTTGTGGCTTATGTCAATTATTTCCTCTCTTGAGCTCCTGGTTCCGCCTTTTTTCTCTTTCTTATGTTGCACTGTTTCCCATCATCTTTCATCCATATTGCAAATGAACAAAAAACAATCTGTTAATTATAGGCTAATTTTGCTGTCGAATTGGATAGTCTCTACTTTATACTTGAACTTAATTTTTGAAGACAAGTAATTGCAAAATTTTAGAACTCTGATAGATCCGTGGTACTGCAGGTCAAAATCATCAGTGCACGCCAAGCAGAAATCAAGTTTGCAAGGGTACTTTTTATGAAGCTCATGTCTTCAGGTACAGACTTGTACTGCTATTATTTTTTTATGATATAAATAGTCCAAATTCATTCTAAATTAACTTTAAAGTACCATGTTCTTCACTTGGTTTTAAAAGGCGCGCCCGAGAGGCACAGCCAGGCACTAAAGATGGTGCCCGCCTGGGATAAGGCGAGGCGAGATACAAGAGGCGTGCGCCTCTGGGCTATAGACACCGGGCACCAGGCGTAGTGCCTTTGCGCCTTTCAAATTTTTTTAAAGATATTAATAGGAAGTAGAACAAATTAAAGAAGAAAGAAGAAGATAAAAAAAGAATTGTAGTAGTAAGAAAAGAAGAAGATGGTGGAAGAAGATTAGAAAACTCTTTCTTTTATCACATTTTCTTATTTCTTAACCCTAATATTTGACCTATTAACAAGCCCAACCCTATTGCCCAAATTTATAGTCTAACTCTAATGTTTATTTATTTATTTATAACAAACCATTATAACTTCTTCCATTCTTTGTCTGTTTTTAACCCAAAGTATATGTTTTTTTAGAAATTTAATTATTTAATAATACATAATTAATTTTAATTTTTAAAATAATAAAATATTAAAATAAATATTAATTACTTAATAAATTTTATTAAATATAAAAATTAATTTTTTATAATAATTACAAATTTTAAATCGATAATAAAATAAATTTGTATCATTTAAAAATAAATGAAATCATAGTTTTAAATATTAAAAACATTAAGTATAAATCAATAACGATGTAGATTTTGGTGAAATGGATTAAAATATGTTTATAAAAATAAATAAAATAATAGTTTTAAATATTAAAAACTTTAAGTATAAATCAATACATTGTAGACAAGTATTTTAGGAGTTAATCGGTGGGTAATGAGTATAAATATACTCATACAATTAATTTATAAACGTTTTAGCATATATATATTTATAATATTGTTTTAAGTATAAAATATGTTCCACAACTAATTTATAGGGTTTTTAGTATAAAAGTGCGCCTCGTCTATGAAAGGATTGCACCTAGGCTCCAGGGACCTTTTGTGCCTAGGTGCGCCTTGCGCCTTTTAAAACCAAGGTGTTTCAGCAAAAGCATATTAGTCTATTAGATGTTACTGTCAGTTCAACTCATTGTTTGTCACGTTTTCTTTGATCTACCGAAGTATATATTTTGTAGTCAATTCGATCGACTCTCTCTCTATATATATACACAACAGATCATTAAGGGTAAAAGAATCCCGATCTCACATTTTCTTTATCTTTCTATTGGTTGTGATCATATTCAGCCTGACCAAAGAAAACCATATTGTTCCATTGAAGGCCCAAGACAAGAGGATTCTGATAGGCAATATGAAAGTGAAGATTGATACTATTACATGATAAGGTTAAGACTTGTTTGAATCAATATTTCTCTTGTTTCTTATAGGGTTCAAGCTATATAGGATAGGAGTTTGTTTTGAGAATATAAATGGCTGTATTTATTACTCCAATGCATTATACATCTTGTTTCCTTTCTCCATCAAATATACTTTCTCTTCTTCAGGAATTGCCAGCATGATAGTTCAGCTTGAAATTCATCTTCTCAAACTTTCCATTAGCCTCTTGTAACACCCATTTCCTGTATATGTTTATGTACACAAGTTACAGGTGTCACATGATTTTTAAAATCATCTACTTATTTGTAAAACCCATAAGATTTTGTTTCAAAAGTAGAACAAAACATTTTAATATAAAAATAAAATAGTTGTTGAACCATATTACCAAAATAATCATTTTAATACGTTTCAGAGCATTTTTCTTAAGTTCGATTACATGCTAGCTAATTATCAAAATAAACATAATGGTCTTACTGTTACTGATGAGTCAACATGGGATTGATGATTGCTGCTGCACTCCATACTTGGTTAGACTTTGCTCTTACCTATGTGAAATCAATACAAGTTAAGTATTTACTTAGTGAGACACAATATTGTAAACGAACATTAATGTATACATAAGAATAGCATAATTATTTAGTTATACACTAAATCTTATATTCACTAAGGATCATATAAATCCCCCTCCGTTAAACATATTTTCATTCACAAATTCATTATAATTCTTCTTCGTATGCATAACATACCTATTTTTCTTTATATTTTTCTTTTCCCCTTATCTCATTAGTAATTATTCTTTATTTATATATATATATATATATAGTATCCATTCATGCTTATAATGCACAATATGCATTTCATTTTATGGCATACTTTCATGCATTTAATGTACCGTTATGTATTTCATTTTATGGCATCATTTCACGCCTTTAATGCATCGTTATGCATTTCATTTATGGCATCCTTTCATGCCTTTAATGACCTTTATGCATTTCATTTATGGCATTCTTTCATGCCTTTAATGCACCGTTATGCATTTCATTTATGGCATGCCTTTAATGCCTTTAATGCACCGTTATGCATTTCATTTATGGCATTCTTTCATGTCTTTAATGCACCGTTATGCATTTCATTTATGGCATCATTTCATGCCTTTAATGCACCGTTATGCATTTCATTTATGGCATCCTTTCATGCCTTTAATGCACTGTTATGCATTTCATTTATGGCATACTTTCACGCCTTTAATGCACCGTTATGCATTTCATTTATGACATCCTCTCATGCCTTTAATGCACCGTTATACATTTCATTTATGACATACTTTCATGCCTTTAATGTAAAGTTAGACTTTTAGTCTTTTACTTTATAACAATTCTCACTCTAATAATTATTCATAATATTAATTAACTATTTAATTTCATTATAAATTCTATAGTCTGAACACATAGTGCCAATATGGTAATTCACAACTTTTATGAATAACGTGGGGTTATACACACAGTGCCAATACAGAAATTCATAAACTTATTATGAACTTCTTAAATTGAACACACAATGCCCATACTGTAATTACAATACATACATTAAACAACACAAATCTATGACTATCATAATATATAAGCACATAATAAATGAACTCACCTAGTATACATCGTTAGTATGCTTTAAGGATGTCCCACTATTTGACAACTTTATCTTTTCCCTTGTTCTTGCTTAATTCGGGAGCTTAGTTACGATCTACACAAGCATCCATTAAGTACACATAACATACCAATGTTAGTTTACTCTCTAACATTCATACTTTTAATAATACTTTAAAGTACTATTATATTCAATTTCTATCAAAATTAGTCCTATTTTAATTTTCCATACTCAATAGTATCGGTACCCTTACTATGGTATCAATACTTCTATACTATGGTACTGATACCCCCTTTCAGTATCGATACAATTTCTACATTCTGAAATCAATGGTATCGATACCTTCTCCATAATATCGATACCCCCTCAGTATCGGTACTAATTGCATCAGTATCGATACTGTTAAGCTGATTTCATCCAATTTATGCCTATAGTATCGGTACTATTCTATCAGTACCGATACCTTTACCTAGATTTTCTATTTTTCAGCCCTATTCTTACTTAAATTTGGTCAAATTTCCTTATGTTTACACCCAACAATACTATTAAACTCTTATTTACTTATCTCTATTAACTTACCTTCATTTAGCTTCTTAAAGCATCTCAAATCTCCCAAGAACATTTCAATCTAAGAATCACACCACTTTTTCTAACATGTTTTTAAACTCATCCAATGCTTCTAATATCTCATTTACTTCTTTGACAAGTCAAATATACTAATAAACATCAATAAAAACTCATATATCAACATATCATCTAAAAACCCATTTTCTCAAATCTCAAATAATCCACTCATCTCTTATTTTTAATCTTATTCAACCCTTCCTTAAACCTCTAGGGTGCTCAATGTTTCAAAAAACAAACCAAAAACGAAAGGAAAGACTTGCCATATGAAATCTTACCTTTGGCTATGGAGGAGAGCCTTACACGGGAAAGAAGAAGAGATAATTTTGTGTTTCCCCCCTTTCCTCTTTTTTCCTATACTTTAATACCCCACTGCGAATGAATTTTAAATTCATATCCTCTTAAAGGACTAAAATGCCCTCTTTAATCATTTATTATTACAAATTAGTCTATAACACTATTCCAAATTATTTTCTCATCTTTTATCATTTATTCAAATGAATCCTCAAATTTTTAATATTTTCAATAAGGTCACTGATATGATATTTGGGGTATTATAATTCCCCCCTTAAGAAAATTCGTCCTCAAATTTAAAGACTTTATGCTTTTACCACAACACTTCAACTAGAGGAATCATTTTGTTACACGGTTTCTTGATTTTTCTAGTCCATATCCGTATTGATTCTTTTTCATAATTCAAATTTGATCGATAATTAATAAGCAACAACACATGAAAATATTATAGGCCTTGTCCGTTTCGGAAGGAAAAAGCTAACTGATAAAATCTCATAAGATTTAAAGAAAAAATTCTCGGCCTCAGTCCGAACCGCAATACTTTCTTCCAAGGCAATACTTTCAGAAAAACTTTATCACCTTCTTGTTATTCAATCTCCTTTCTCTTTAGATCAATATAAGACTTTTGCCACTCAGAAGTGATTTTTAAAATTATCTTGGTTAACTTTCATTTTATACTCCATTTCTTTCATTAATTCAGGTCCAACTAAATTTCTATCTTTTAACTCAAACAAATTTAATGGCATTTAACCTTTTCTCCCCTATAAAGCTTCGTATACAACCATCTTGATGTTCGATTACTAACTGTTATTGCAAGCAAATTCTTCTAAAAGATAATATTTTTCCCATGATCCCTTTTCCGTTCATGAATCGAGATTGATTGAAACAATCTCGAATATACTCGATGTTCAACTTTTCCTCTAAAATTTTCGTGATGGCTCTTTTCATTCTTTCTAAAATTTGGTACCTCTTGTTCCAAATGCATAATCAACAGACTTAATGCCTCACAAAGGTATCTCTGCATAATCAACAAGACAATGCCTCATGATAATACGAACATTCATCGAATCCTGACCTCAAAAGTCCTTAATCTCTTCATTTTCTACTTATAAAATTCTTATCAAGAAATTTTCTTCTTTCCTTTATAATTCTCTTATCAGCTCTAATAAAAACATCGGCTCCATCTTTAATTCATCCCACAATGCCATTTTCATTCAACACTAATCGCACTTCCATAAGCTCGCAAAACTGCAAAAGGTTTTCTGACCAAATATCTCTGCAACAACATTGACCTTTCCTGGAAGATAATCAACGATCATTTCATAATCCTTTAAAGGTTCTGACCATTTTTTCTATATCAGTTTCAATTCTCTTTAATGCTACATGTACTTTAGGCTTTTGTAATTAGCACAACTATAGTACCGCTCACCATACAAATAATGGAGTCCAAACTTTTAAGGTAAATTCAACTGTTGCAAACTCTAAATCATGCGTAGAGTAATTCCTCTGGTGAGTCTTTAACTTTATCGAGGCAACCTTTTTACATAAGCACATTTTCTAATCCGTTGGAATATGAATTAGTAAAAGAAACCACATAATCCTTACCCAACTCAAGTTGTATAATCACTATTGTCTCTATTAAAATCCTCTTTAGCATTTTCAAAACTCTCTTAACCCTTCTTAATTCTTTAATAGTAACCAGCAAGCCCCAAAGAAATCTGAACTTCAGGATCATTCTTTGGGAGTTTCCAATTTACTACAACATGAGTTTCCCCTAGGATCTACTCCTATACCTTATGAAGAAACAACCTGGCCAAAGGAAGTCATCTCTGCTAACAAAAATTTCACATTGCGATGGTTTGGCATACAAATTCTTCTCTCGAAGAGTCTTATTTAATTGTCAAAATCTATGCATAATCACATAGATTTATCTTTTTTTTTCCGCTAATAATACAAATACTTCCCAAGATGAAATACGCGGGCTGATAAAACTTTGATCAATTAACACTTATAATTGAGTCCCTAATTCCCTTGACTCACTTAAATCATTTGATACTAAATTATATAAACATGTTTAATACCTTAATAACCATCAACCTTGAATTCCACCTCTTGATCTGGAGGTAACTCGATAAATTTACTTGAAAAGACATTTATAATTTCCCAATTTTGTGAAATTATCAAACAATTCTACTTTAATTATTTGAGTATCTATCACATTACCCATAAAAGCTATATATATATATATATATATATATATATATATATATATATATATATATCTTTCTGACATCTTTTTCTCACACTTGTTATCGATATCATCTTGAGCGATGATTTTATTTTCCCTTCAAAAACTATAATTTACACACTCTCTGCATCCTTCTGAATTAATCTTCTCTAGAGACAAACAACCTATACCTAATATGATCTTAACTCATCAAATGTTATTTCAATCAGATTCACCGAGAACATAGCCCCTGGAATCTTTATTAAATGTTTACTACCTGACCAACTCACACTTGTACCATGACCCACTAGGGTTTACCTCTATCATCTTACTCAAGATTGAGTTGAATATAATACTTTTTATTTTAAAATCTTTTATTTCCTTCTTAAGGTAATCCGTATAACTTTTCCGGATTCATTGAAAATATTC